ATTATTCTAATTATATTTTAGATTTTTTATATTTAAAATGAAATATTTATCCTGTATTTGATTGTGTTTATCTGCAGTTAGTTACACGAATTCACATAAGGGATGAAATCTGATAGGGATGAAATCGTTTAGGGATGAACGGTTTTAAGAGTTTTAAGAATTTTTAAGAGTTTTAGCCAAATGTTTTATAAGAGAGTATAGATATGTTAATTAATAGTTTTTTTATACGAAAAAACATTTATTTTAACATTAAAAGAGTTAGAAAAACTCCAACATCTTTTCTGAATTTAAGAATAAAAAATAAAATCTTTAAAAAGATTTAGATTTAACTCCGACATTATTTTTTATATTAAAGATTACAATATTAACTTTTAACTATTTAATACATTTAATACCAACGAACTTTTAGGTCTTGGTTGTTAATCTCTTATATGTTAATTATGTCTGATTTGTTAAGAGATAAGACTATTGAGACTATTTTTTATTTAATTTCTCAGAGGTAGTTATGTTTTATTACCTTCTTATCTGATAAGAAGTAAACCAACATCTTATTTCAACGACGTTTCTTAATCGATCATTTCTCTCAGTTGATACTTACCAAATCGATAGTCACCTCTCTTAAATTAATGTATTTTAATTGGATTAAAATGTGTTAAATACCGTCAATGACATATTTTTATTTAAATGAAATTATATAATTCAGATGTAAATGGCGTAATGATGATGAATAAATGTGTAAAAATATATAAATTTATCTATAAATTCAATACTATAACTTTCTGATAGGTAAAATAGACAATTAAACAAATTCAGAAAWTTTTCAGTTTACAAAAACAAAGTCTTAAGTCCCGTTTGGTTTGCAGAAATATATTGGATTTAGGGGGATTTGGATTTTAAATCCATTCAAATCTCATGTTTGGTTTGTTGAATTGTTCAAAATTGAAATCCTAGGATTTAATTAAAAATCCTACAAACATAAGATTTTGAAATCCTTAAGGGATGAGCAGGGCCGGCCCTGAGATTTTGGATGCCCACGGCGGAAAGTCAAAAAAATGCCCTTTATAGTGAAAAAAAAATTCAATCACAAGTATATATGAGGATATTTTTAACTTTAAAACAACATGAATAATCAGTATTCATTATTCACAAAGGAAATCTATGCAGATATATGGTTATCGAGATG